TTATACTTTTTGCACAAGCTTTTTATCAAGATTGTGCTACAGTGCACAGCTGTATATGATGTGACTTAAACAGATTGTATCCCTCACAAAATATTTTAGTGCTTACTCATCAGATGTAAAGGTCATCGGTACCCAAATACAGGAAAATGAAAAGATATGCAAAAATAGAAGACATACTCACAGGAAATTTACTTATTCGTATATATATGATTATATTTTGTTCAAAATTTATTTTGTTTTACTTTTTTAAACTTAATAATCACTCCTGCTTTAATGCCCACCACCAGTTACAGAAATTCAACAAAATTTCTATCTAAAATCCAAAACTAAAACGTAGCTGATATTCATAATTCCTATATACAATAATTGTTGACATAATCATGGCTGACTTTATTTTTTCATATTTCTTACATTTTAAAACATTTATGCTGTGATATTTCATCTCTGGGTGAGTGCTCCTCAGAGCTTCTCAGAATGAGGAGGAAAAATAGATAGGTTTTATAGCACGATTCTAATAAATATGCTTGAAAATTAGGCAAGGAAGAAGCAAACCATATAATTAACCAGATGTATACAGAAGTTTTATCCCTATAATAATTAAGATTCTAGAATCTATGATGCAATATCAGGACCAATGTTAATTTCAGGTCATTGTTAGAAGACTGAATTTGTAAACGGATCGAGGTCTTTGGCAATGGGCAGAATAAAATCAAATGTCTTGTGTTTGCCATAAATCGTAGAGGTTTCAAACATAATACAGACCACAAACTCTTTTTATTGTGATGTCATTTGCCATATTTAAATGAGAATTATAGGTTTTCCTCTTAAACATTTTAATGTGTTTGATAGCGAATATGATAAGTACAGTACTGTCAACCCCCAAAGATTTTCTCGCGGGACAGATTTTTTAGACCCAGTTCCAAAAATTCGCGGGATTTTGCGGGACATCCACCTAAATTCGTGGGATTTCGCGGGACATTTAAGGGATTTGCGTGATTGCGCTAAAAGGTCAAATTTTGATCAAATTTGCGGGATTTCGCGGGACCATTCGAGGGACAAACACGCTACTTGTGGGACAATTAACAGGGTAACCACCAAAGACTTCAGAGAGAGATAATTTTTCTAGACAAAGTGCCCTAAATTCGCGGGATTTTGCGGGACATCCAACTTTTGCGGGATGTCGCAGGACATTCAAGGGATTTTTAATGTAAAAGTGCTCTTGAATCAAACTTTCAGATACTGATTTATCAAATATCATGCACTTAACTTAAGTAAACGTCAACACAATTCCACACACAGACACAATACGCATAGAACTATTATTAAACTATCAAAAACCAAACTTTAGTTGTGAGTACCGTAATCCGACACGAAATTCAAAAATTCTTGTAAATACTTTGCACTTATGGCGTTCGTGACCAACTATGAAACATTTACCCCCATAGTGTTATATATCAAAATGTACCTATTCGTATAGGGGTTCGATTATTCTACATCAAATTATGGGGAGTCAGGTTTCTTTTCGAGATATCAGTGTCCATTTATTGGAACTCGCGTTTGCTAACATTTGTTCAGTTCTGAGATGAAGGCCGTGACACGCGTAGTAAAAAGGCCAACGTTGGAACTAATCGTGACATACATCCCTATTTCCGTAATTAAAATGAAATTTGCACTCTTCCTCTTTATTTTGATACCAAACGGCATGCTAGAAGCCAACTATGGTGTTATTTGGATCAAAATCATAGTTTTATAAGTGTACTATATGCTCCTTCCAAAAGCAGTCTTCGATGATCTGATGCACTGGGAGTTCGGCAGCACTTTTCAAATTAGGTAAACTTGACTCCTCAAAAGTGCAAAAAGCTTAGCTTCTTATATCACAATATAATCACAATTATTCAGCCTCGGGGATTGTTACAATTTTGAAAATTCGCGGAGGTCAAAGCCGTCATTTGCGGGAATTCGCGGGACACGCGAATAAGCCAAATTTTGGTCAAATTCGCGGGATAATCCCGCCATTCGCGGGACACTTGACAGCTCTGTAAGTAACTATATTATCAAACATGGTTAATGGGATATTTTTTTGCCCCTCGATCCCCTGATTTTGGGTTGCCATGGCACCATATCTACTTAAATATTTCTCTTGTGCTAAATATCTTTTACTTGATAACTAGGTCATTGTGTGTTACACATTCTGTGAAAAATTGAATGGAATATACCAAAACCAATATTTTTTAGATATGCAATCTTTATGATCACCCCTTGTGAATGTTCATATCAGATTCAAATGATCAAATACTTTTATCTTCAAGTTTTAATCAGGCAAAGTTGGTAAATGTATAGAGCTTTATACAAGGCTTTAAGAGGAGGGAAAAAAGAGAAAAATATTCAGAACAGGAAAATCCCAACATCAATATTACACACATGTAATTTAAGGAAGTCTGTGACCCACTTAAAATCAAAACTAAAAATGGGCGACCCGTACAATCATCTTCATACAGTTGTTATTTATTAATTTCAATGTTCTTGAACTCCGAACCTATACTCTCATAAAATACCAACTGTTTAACATTTGTAATAATTATTAGCCATTAAATATTCTTTTATCAATCTCCTGAACAAGATAAAATAATGAGAATAATTAATTTCCGCCTCTTTTAAATCTAATGCAGTCCTGTAAGGTCAAATGATAAGAAGTATTAAATGGCTTAAATAGCTCATCTAAGATAACCTAAAAATAATTTTTTAGTTCATAACGATATATTACACAATCAACTGACTTGGGAATAAACTGAGCTAACTTCCTTAAAATCTAGGATTTCAGACCAATAAAATATCAAGACATGATAAGCTAGCTTCCTTAATATAAAAGACTGTCATTATATAAAGCTGATCAGCAAAAGTCGTTCTGATTTCTGATACTTGTCACATCTTTCTGTTTCTATTAGAAATATGATCTCATGGCTATAATCAAAAAGAAACAAGATGTCATGGTTTATAATGATAACTTCCTTAAAGTCACATTTGCTCTATGGTGCATGGGCATACGACAGCAGTAGCTTCATAAAATTGATATAGAAAATCTACATCATACTGCTTAGCCCTGAACTTTGCACTATATATTTGTTTCGATTTTTGAAAAATATGGCCGCCATACTCCCGCCGGAGAGCAAATGTGACAGAGAGGCATAATTTGCAAAATTCACACATCTCATTTCATTTTCAATACTTCAATGAATTTTTCTCCAACCAAAGATAACCTCATGTGAAGATAATTTCTCAATATTCTGAAATTCCTTCCAAATTACATCATCATTAGTGTTAACCTGACCCATCTACATACTGTTAAGACATCATTCCAACAGATATATGTATGGATAACTAAATAGTTCTGACATGTACAAATCTAAGCTCTCTTGTAGTATCACAACATAACCCAGAAAGGCTTTAAACATGTTAAACCCAAGCATAAACATTTATCTAGTATGATACATAAATTAGGCTGTAAAGCTGTAAAACTGTAGTTCAAGATGACATGAATTCCCCTTCCATAAAAAACATGTTAAAATTACTTTTAACCAGCAATTATTGAACATAATAAACCAAAGTAAATTAACAAAATAAGTTTAGTTCTAAGTTTGGTTGATATGAATGTTTGATCTTACTTCTTTTATAGTCTAGTTACAAGCCCCTATAACACCCCCCCCCTCCCTCTATTTGACTACACAGCCTTCTCACACAGGAATGTAAATTGGGGGGGGGGCACAAGGGCTTGTAGCTAGACTAGTAAACTATTCTTTTTAGAATGGAAGAATAATTGTTGCATGGTTGTAATTGCTGATTTGGCTTACCCTCAAATTATATAAATATTATATCAATTTTATTGGGTATTATATTAAAGGAACAAATGCTGAAGTTTGACATTAATGGAGCAAAATAATACATCATAATTATCATAAATGACAACTTAATCAAAAATATAGCTAGGTTATTGAAATAATCACTTGCAAAACATGATCATTCAAATTAAAATGATATATTCAACAAAACATATGAGTATACAACAAAATTGGTCATGAAAATCTCAAAAATCATTAAGAAATAGTTAGGCTAAGAGGTAGATTCTTTGTGTTATGTCCCTATGCATGTACGACTTTGAGTCAAAAACACAAACAAGCAAATATCATAAATATATTTAGCCATGAGGATCTAAAAGACTGTAATCCATCTTTATAAAACAAGTTATTATACCATTGGAATGTTTCTAGCTTTCTCATTAGATAATAACCGATCAAGATGATCGTATATTCCCATCACCTCATCTCATTCTGCATTTATACGATGGAGTACATGTATCCATCATGGAGAAAGTGCTCAATAATTACCAGGAGTATATTCTATGATGAAGGTTTCATGCAATGTACCAACATGCAGATGATAAAAATGTACATTGATGAATATTCACAGTATGAAAGCAATGACTGACGAACGCTATGAAGGTACTACAGATTGGCTACAATAACAACAACAAAACTTGAAACAGCAGGAAAAGGTGAAAAACCCGATTTTGCAGGACGTAAAACAAAGTATCTACTTCTGATGGCCTTACCAATATTTCCAAATTTTACAATTTCTTTATTCAAAAGTGAATTTCTACTTTAATTTTCTGAGGTAAAATGTACTTCTTCACACAAGGCTGGAGAGAAACTGTTTCTCCCTGGATTACAACTTGAAACATTTTCCTTTTCAAAAAATTAAATAAGCATTTGCCTCAATCTTTAATTAATATAATTAATGAATTCAAATTAAGCAAATACAAGGCATTAACATGCAGAATATCACCACCTTCCATTTGTTACAGAAACTGCCTGCTGACTGCCGCCTGCCAAACACCGTCCACAAAAAAGTTGGACACTGTAACAATATGTCACTACTTGTGGTGGTGACATAAAAACTACAAAACAATTCTGGAAATCTGGAACATAATAGACATACATACTCACCTAAATGTGATGGAATGACAGGACAGAGGGGTTGTGTTGGGTCCCTTGGTTTTGGCGCGAAATCTGATGAATTCCAACGACGTGTAATATTGACGCTGGCATTATATGGCACCCCAAATATGGAAGACATAAGAAGACTGTGATCTGCATGTAAAAATCCAGATAACGTCCGACTGCTTGAGTTTGACACACTCACCAAGAATGGGTGTAAGTAGTGTTTCTTGTATATAAATATATTAATCCCATACTGCAGTATAAGAAACACTAAAAGTAATGATATGAGAGATTTATAAAAATTCTCTCGAAGTAACCTGTACAAACAACAAACATTTTGTTGCCTGTGATTAAATCGTGTTTGACTTAACTTTCCCATCTTGCAGAAGCATGTACATCAGCTCCTTTTATAGACACTAAATGAGTAAATTATGTAACCGTCACATTTAGATCCATAGTATGCTCTGCATTTTGGCACTTCGCATAATACTGTATATAGTGTTTACTGCATTATGAGTACTTTGGAATCGAAATTCAAGCACATTAGCACTCATTGTTCATTTGGCACTAAACGTCATACTTCTAACAGTACATTTGGCACGCATATAAATTACTAAAATATCCACAAGTTCTTTAGTTGTAATCGAATTATGCTTTCGATTTCCTGGTGCTCCGTCTAAATCAAATCTTCATAAGACATCCAATTTCTTCCTAATATTAAATATCCATAATTCTCTATGTATTATCCATCAGCCAACACTCTATTTTTAAAGAATTATCTCTTATACATTTTCCAAATATTTTCAGCTTGTAGATTGTATGTCTGTAACTCCTGGTACATACTTTATTGGCAAACTATAGGAGTTTTAAAAGCATCCTTCCAGACCGATATCCCAACTGGGAACATAAACCTGATTAAGTTACTCTGCAAACAGATATTAGGCAAACCTAATCCCTTCTCTGTATCACTGCTTTTGCTTCTGGGTTATTAGTTTACTACACAGACTTTTGGATAAGAAGTGTTGGATCATAAGTCTATTCCACAGACAAAACAGCTCTGTTCCTCTGGATTAGTCTCTTGTGTTCTGTATCTTTGATTATGGGTGCATAATGTAAAGTCAAAGCTAAGTTCTCTAATCTTACTAAAAATAAGATATCCTTGGTAACTAATGAGATAAGGATTTGTTGTGAACTTATCTGTTTTAAATTCCTTATTGATAAAGTTTAATTCAACTATTAAGAGGTGTTAAAAGCATTACTTTCTTCCAGATGGTTTTTAATCAATTCACAATTGTAACTTGAGGAACCCCGATCTCCAGTGAAGGAATCTCTCAGTTAATTTCAAGATTAAAAGATAATCCATGATTTGGAGATAATCCAGTTGATAATCCATCAGAGGTCACAGTGTTGTGGAGATAAGAGAAAGTAAGTAACTTCCTAAATGTGATATAGGAAAGCAGGTGCAAAGGTTGAATCATGTTTCATATTTCCGATATATTTGATGTTACTAATTTTTTTTCACATGGTACCTTCATTTTTATCTCACTGATTAATGAATAAATAACTATTTTGTAAATCTATCCTTGAAGTGTTGTTTTTGGAAAGTACTGCTTATGTGATGCTGTTCATTCACTTCAGTTAATCCAGCAAATCTGTTTCTAATGTAATGCGACACCCTGTACTGTATAAAAGGTCAATTCCCAAGCTAGGGTTCTGTTCTCACTTTCTATGATTGAGCTTTCTCTGGAATATTGAATGTTGCTTTGAAATCTGGCACATTGTTTAGATATGTTACATCAACTTGTTATTCCTATTCCAGATCCTTATAAGTGAATGCTGGGTTCTGCCTCCGAATCCCTTTGTTATCCGAGTCATCATCTTTCTATTGTTCAGCTAATGAGGGAAGTACATCCAAGAGGGAGTGTTGATAGTTCCAGCTATAATAGACTTTGCTCTCTTCAAGAGTTAGGCTGGAAATAAATGATCAACAATTATGTGGTTGGTCTATTTCCTGGGGTAATCATTCAAAGTATTATCTCTAAAGTATTTTATTTTACTCATAATTAGTTAATACATCAATCATTTATAAATTGTTCCATATTACATCATTTTAATGAGTGAATATATAACAAAAATAATTTTGTTTTAGTCTTTATTTACATTTATAATATTGTAAAATAAAATATTGGGTCAAATAATTATTTAATAAATGTTTTGATCCCTAGTGCAGCATCCTCTTGAGTAAAATTTAATTACTTTAAATGATTCTTTTTTATTTATTTAAAAGTAGCAAAGTGCCTATTTGAGGTCATTGGATAAAAGTCAAGTTATCAGTTATAATTTTATATGGCGCAAAATGATCATTTAACCTTTTGGACATTCTACTTCAATAATAGTTAAAATCTAACCTAATCATTGTATATAATGAGTATTATATATGATTTACAACTGTATATTAGTACATTGTAATTAAATATTTTTTAGAAGTGGATTTGAGGATGACAAGATAATTTTTATCTTTTATGTCCTTCCTTATTTATTTGTCTTCATCGAAGCCTAATGATTCTTTAGAAATAGATGAAATTGACTGGAATTAAAATTTTAATTTTCAAATAGACTTAATTTCTATAGGCCCGTGGCTAGGGAAAGGGGTTCAGAATGAACCACATCTCACTCCCACTAGCCAAAAATTCTTTCAAAATCATGCAGTTTTTCATAATTTTGAGCACTTTTCGGGTGATTTTGGGCCAAAATTGTCATAAAGTATACCCTTGGATTTACAAAATCTGACCCCCTCTCCTTAGCTGGCTATGGGCCAGTTATATTGTTTGGAATACATGAGCAAGGATACCCTAAACCTTTATACTATTCACCCTGGCCTAAACATAGGGATACTTTATATTCTTCTCAACAACTCAATACCCATGTATAAAAATTGAAGTGCATATGTCTGTAAGCATGGAATAGAGTATGATGGGATGGAGAGAAAGGAATGATATATAAACAGATAATTACTCTTCACTTCATAGAAAATCAAAACTCAAATAATTTATTTGTACTTCAGAGGAATACCTAAGAATAAGTGTCATTATTGTGAAGTTTTACGCAAGGTACCACAATAGAAACATATGGGACAATCCAAATTAGTGTGAATTTATTCGCTTATAACTGTACATCACAAATTATTCTCCCTATCATCATCCATGGCATTTACACAGTGTTAAACACTGTGAATATTGAATGTTACAAATGTGAGATAAATTGCAGCCTTTGTATACTTTCTTTGATTTAATTTTTGATCTCCTGGATTGGAAAGAACTTTGTCAATAAACTATTATTCAAACATATTTTATCGCAACTTAGAAAAATCAATCTAATGTAAAGGCAGGGTTCACAACCATAAGGTTGAAAATAAATTGCCAAAATTTGACACTTTGATGTTCAGTTCATTGCCCAAAAGGTAACTCATTTTTCCAAGTTCATTGTCAAGAGTGACAAGTGCTTGTAATTGGCAGTCAGACAGCTGTGGGTTTGGTACCATACTCAAGGGGAAAGTATGGATCTCTGTTTTGAATTCCAATTACTTTTTCCATTAGATTACAGTACATAATTCTTGCATCTTCTGAAAATAAACAGACTTTTAAAATGTAGGCTTTTACCTTACTCTTTTTCTTCTCTATTTTGCTTAACATAAATAGATAAAAGAAACACAGATCAACACTTCTTGAAAAAAAAGACTGAGCAACTCAACTCTAAACTGAGCATAATATGCTGACAAAGAAACAAATTCTGCAATCATCTATTCTCAAAATATCATCAAAATTCTTAACTGGGTGCAAAACTATTTCAAACTGGGTGCAAGATAAGTTTCAAATTCTCAAAATGGCGCATAAAGTGCCAGGTTGCTGAGGGAACATTTTACAAGATGGCTGCCTGATTTCATGAGGGACATTCAAGCATCATATTATGCAGAGAGACGTCTCATCTTGATTACCAAATCTAATATGCCTGTCCTCTGAGTATATGAAATATTGCAGTGAGTTAGAAGCTATGGTAATTTAAAGGAATTTGCCAATTGCGATGTTAGTATCAACTAAGAAAAACGAACTGAAAATTATCAAATATATTGCATTTTCAAAGGACATTCATTCTTATTTATATTTTTTTTTATAAAATTCCTTCTTCTTGAGCAGTCCTATATTCCCCAGGTCAGCATATAAAATTTGAACCAAATCTGTCCACTGGTTTGTGAATTATCGTCTATATTTTTTATTTTTACGAAAAATGGCAGCTATTTTTTAATTCAGTAGCCATTGATCTTGAGCACAGTACAAAAGGACGGACAACGAACCAATGGACAGATGGCTTTTTATGTCCCTCTCAAACTTCATTTGGTGGGATAATAACAGACATTGTTGTGATTGACATACTGTACAAAAATACATGTATCTCTACCTTTTCTTGCAATTTTATGATAGCAAATTGAATATTAGACACTTTCATTTTGGGCCTTTTTAGGCCTCACATTCCAAAAGAAGGCTAATTTGTGAGAAAGTTGACCTATTTTGAAAAATAAGAATGTATTTTGAAAAAAATGCCCTAATTCATAAACAGGGACTCAACTTTTTGTGCAGGAGGCATTTATAAAAAGAAAATGAAAATGTATAAAGCCAGCATTTCATGATCCTAAACTAAAAAATATTAGGAAAGTAAAACATTGCATGCTCTATACTACAAGTCCAACCTATATTCATCAAGCATTATCTCATTGAAGACGACATATTGATCAAAAATTCAGAGATGGCTTCTCATCTCTCGTTACCAATCAATACGAACACTAATGACTTCCATGAATTTCAATTATTTCTAATGGAGAAAATTAGCTATGCCTGATTCAATTGTGATCTTCTGGTACATGGGACCTTGCCAATTTACTAAAACAATGTTTATGGAATTAGAAAACCATGACTAATAAGGATATCATGCTATAAAAGAAATTTTGGAGTGGAGTTATAGGCTTTTCAAACTCAGGAACTATGATGGATATAGAAATTGATGTGTTGACCCTGGAGAATTGTGAATGATATATTATCCCATATTTGGAGGTTACAGGGGATATCTGTTCAAAAAGAAGAAGGGGAGGCAAAAATTGTTTGAGGCCCTTTTGTTTAAAGTTTGAGCTGATTTGCTCAAAAAATATTTTGAGAACAAAAAGAACCAAAAGTCCCATCTTAGCCCATGTAAAAATTCCAACCAAAACAGAACTAGACAAGGCATTAGCACGCAAAATGTCACCACCTTCTATTTGTTACAGATGCTGAATCCTGAACACCGACTGCTGAATGCTTAACACCAAATCAACTGTCAAACACCATCCAAAAAAGTATGATACTAAAAAAATAAATCACCACTCACGGCGGTGACCTAAACTATAAAATTCAATGAATCATTTATCAATTAATATTTACCATCTAGAAAATACAAGTTACAGCAGAACTGCCTGATATATCAATATCAAAACAATATAAATAGAAAATTAATGTTAATGTGTATTCCTCTATCATTACATTTGCCCAAATTCTGAAAACTCCCCGAAATTCCTGGTATCAAAAACATTCACTTTCTTTATGGAACAGATCAACTAATTATAATCCAAATCATTCTGCTTCAGCTTCTTACAACAGTTAACTAATACAATGAGAAATTACTCACCAAAAGTATCCTACTGGATTGCCTACTCTTCCACCGCAAGGACAAACAGTTACAATTATGGAAACTCCCCCAAATTCCTGAAACAAATTTTGGTT